GTAGAAGGAACACCAAGAGCAAAGGTTGCATGGTAAGAAAGAGATTTGGAGTGTCGAGGGACAGCAAGGAGCCCAGAGTGGCTGCAGCACAGTGAGAGTCGGTTGGGGTGGGCAGAGGCTAGATGGGATGGGTGGGCAGGTCACACCAGGTCTTATAGAGGCACTGAAGTGGCTGCGAGAACATCTGGTTTAGATTTTAGGAAAGGTGTTCTGGCTGCTGGGTGGAGATTAAATTGGAAAGAGGGGCTAAAGAATGAAAACAGGGAGATCAATTTGGAAAAGAATGTAACGGCCCAAGATGATGTGATTGTCTTAGGGTAGGAGCAGGGATTGATGCTCAACTGCTCTGATGTCCCTGGCGATAACAAAAACCAATGTGCACAGCACACTTCCTTGTTTTCGAATTATTCGCATCCTTTATCTCATTTTCTCTCTGAAACAGCTCTCCTCAGAGCAGGGGCAGATATTATCTCCAGGTAAGAGAAACAAACCCAAAGAGTGTAAATGACTTGAGCCGGTCTCCCCAGCTAGAAAATGATAGAACTGCAGCTCCAGCCCAGGCGTGTGCTCTGCTAGCTCTCTGATGGATGCTGGGCTCTGCAGTTTTTCTCAGAGGACCTTCTTCTTCACTCTTTCCTTCTGCCTGACTGCAGCAGGCACTTCACAGAGTTTCAGAATGACCCTTTCTTCAGTTTCAGTCTCAGCAAGCCCAACCAGGGAGGATGTCTGAGGGCTGTGTGCGTGGTCAGGGAGGTAGATGCTTCCCTCCGTGAAGTGAGCTACATTTGCACAACTCTGTGAAAGTGTTATTGAAGCCACTGGCCATTATAATTTCACCAAAGTTTGACATTTGGATGAAGTTTTTGTGATAAACCCCAAATGCTTTCTTTTATTCTGTGTAACTCAAAGTGTTCCATTTTCAACTTGACCTTCAGGAAACTCAGAACTAAATGTTAGTATTTAGATTTAGCATTTCACTCCCAGGTACCCTCTTTGATACTGAGAACTCCCCATCCATTCCCTTAAGTATATGCCTCCAATTCTCTTTTCCTTTGCTT